ATGACCGAGAGTGAGCACACACGTGACTATCCACACGCCTAGTGGCCTAGGAGATGGCGGCAGGGGAGAAGAATGGAGAAGGACAAGTGGCTCTTCTGTCAGCCATGGAGTCTCCCAGGGAGCTTGTAAGAGGAAGGAAACTGCTAGCACATGATCAGCCGAGTTTGGAGTAAAGAAAGAGCCTACAGGATGGTGGGGGGTCAGGTTCCCGCCTCTGCTTACAGATGCCTCCCTCTCACTGCAGGGCCAACCTCCCCAGGACAGGCCCTGGAGCCGCCACGGGCCACAGAGCCAACAAATCTTGTCCACACCCCGAGCCGGGCACCTACTCTAGATCAAGACAAAGGCGCTGAGGAGAGTGACCTCAGCGGGAGAAAAACCCCAACGCGTTCATTTAAACTGTAAGATATTACGCTTTACCCAGACTGGACTATGCCTGCATATGTATTTTCATCTTCAGAACAGGTGGTTTGAAATGCAAATAAAGTAATAAGTGTCAGAGCCGTATCCTAGCAGTAGCTGCTTTGCAAACGTTACCATGGCATCAATTCAACAGTGTTCTGAGAGGCGCCACACCTCGGCAAGTTCTTTCTAACTCGAGACAGCAAAGTTCAAAGGAATCCACAGACACAAACTGCGGAAGAGGCCCGACCTGATACAGGAGGTGACTCTTCACAGCGTGACTGCCCTCCCAAGCTACCTGAAACAGGGCCTGGGACCTAAGGAAGAAAAACAAGGAAATGGACCATCTCCTAGAACAACTGGAGTGTGATCCACGCCCGGAGACAAAGAGCTGGTGATTATAACTGCTAACATTTGTTCTTAGCTAACAGATTGCGCACAGATTGGGAAGGGCAAACTCCATTCTCCAATTACTCCAGTGCAAATTGTGCTTTACCAGTACTCGCTACATCCTAGCTCGGTGACAAGAGAGCAGATTGTCCTCGTTTATGTTAAACTAAGGCAGGCTGTCCTCCCATGGCCGCAGTCCAGGGGCCACTCGCAGCCTGATGCCGGAGCTGGGGAGCTGGGTTCTGCGGATCTCTGCCTCTCGCTGCCGGCAGATCTGCCCTATGGAGGGCAACGTGCAATTCCCAGGGCACAGACAGAGCAGAAAGAAAAGGACTGGGTGGTAGGGACACAGGACACTGGGGAAACGAGGCTTAGCCATCCCGGCCTGTCAACCAGTCAAGCTTCCGGAGGTAGGTCCTGGGCACATCCCTGCCTGGTTAGGGGAGAACGTAAGGACAGGCACCAAAACAATACAAGACAGTCTGCGATCAATGGCAAATTGATGATGTAACCCACATATTCCGTAAGAGTTCAAAGAGGGCAGGAGTTCTTTCCCGCTTCCTCGCCCCCACCCCCACACCCCACCCCAGAGGAAGGAGATCAAAGAGCAATCCTAAAAAGACTCTCTGAAAAAGTGAAGACCTCGCCAACGGGGAAGCACAGTTGGTGACACTGAAAAGCCACAGGCAAGAATGAAACCCCAGAGCCCCCTCCGTTACACAGGGAAGCCACTAGTTCTCAAGATCTCCTTAAACCATGCATGTTCACGGCTACAGCAGCCCCAGGGGAGAAAGGGTGCGAAGGAAGCTGTGCCTAGAAAAGCGGTCGGGAGCTTCCATACTGTCCTCATCCTGAAAGATGCAGACTTCTGCTTCTCGAAAGGGTAACTCCGAGACTATTATATATAGTTAATGCCACTACCCCCACCCCAAAAATAACAAAGGTAGGAAAGGGCCTCTGCTTCCATTACATGTTAGGAAAATCACTCTGCAAATTTTCTATAAGTGAGTTAAAATTGTAATCTGAGAGGTAACTTGGATGTCAGGTGTGCCACCCAATGGCAGACCACATCCAGGGCACAATATTCAAAAGAGAGTGAGACCCTAGGCTTGGTTTCAGCAGGTTTTGATATTCAGAGAGATCCAGTCTGATGAGAAAGGCTGAGAGAGCAGAGGCTCCAGGGAGAGACAATGCTCAGGGTCAAGGAGGCAATGGTGTCAGGTTCTTGGTGATCAGCCCATTGCCAAGGGCGAAGCAGGAAGTGTCCAGGGCCCTGAGGAAAAGCTATGTAAGGTCTAAGAAGCCTCAGGGTGGAAATTCAGTTGCCGCAGGAAAATACAGCACTTAGGAGGAAACTGAGGCAGATGCCCAACCCTATGGACTAAGCTGACATGACAGAGGTGAGACAAAATCTAAAGTCTGATAGGTATGCGGTGCCCAGAGTTACTGCAGAGATTTTAGCCATTAGGATAGGGTGACGCGAGTAAAGTCACATTCGGCTGGATTGAGGTCCTGAAATATTTTCTGCCTCGGGCACAATTAGCAAAGGAACTCTGCGGGTTTCAGCCTGGAGATCGGGCTGAGCCAAAAACCACAATGACTGAGGTGATCTGGGTTGAGGGAGACAGAAGTTCTTCCTCAGGTCAAAGTGCTTCCATTGAGAGGCCTTAATAAATACTTCGGAAATGATAAACTGGGTTTTGAAAAAAGAAATATATGTTTTGTTGCAACGGTTTATCTCCTTTAAGTTTTCTGCTATATCAATTTTGTTGTCTCAACAAAGAGTTACAAAAATACAGGAAATACTTAACGCCTCTTTGATGGGAAAGTCTTTTCTAAATACAAGAGTAGAAACAAATAAATCATAAGCGTAAATATCAGACCACATAAAAATGTAAAATTTGGTACAATTAAAAATACCACGAGCACAATTAAAAGGCTCTGGAACTAGGTAAAATACTTACCACAATATGACAGCTAATATTCTTGATACTTAAGAGTTCTTGTGAATCAACACAGAAAATCTCAAACAGAAAAATGGTAGAGGATCAAATATACTTCACAGAATAAACACTACAGACCAATAAGAATGTGAAAAGCTGTTCAGCCTCACCAGGTACAAACTATAACTACAAAGAAGTGCTTGACTTCTCAAATTGGCAAAGGGGTTATAAACACTGGAAGGGAATGTGATAAAATTGGATCACCCTCCTAGAAAGCAGCCTGAGAAAGTGTGATCTAATGGCATGACTTCTGGTAATCTTCATTAAAGACAAGAATCAGAGATGTGAACGATTTATTTAGAAATGTTCATCAAAGTGTTATTTATGATAATAAAAAGAGGCAAGAACGTGTATGCTATAGTTATGTAACAAGTCACTAATCAGCCATGAACATTTTTTTGAAGAATTTTTAATAATATGGGAGAATGCTCATGACATAATGCAAAGTGAAAAAGTATAAGACGCGATTTCATTATGTTATGCATAACAAACATATATAGAATAAAGATTGGAGGGAACAGACCTGTTAACGGTGATGGGAATGCAAACTGACACAAACTGGCATAAGTTTTTATTTTTTCCTTTATATCTCAGTATTATTTTAAAACACCTATAAGAAACATATAATACTTGTATAATAAAAAGTTACTTTAAAATATTTTTAAAACTCTATTGTAATGCTCCAGGTTGCTGCTTGGGGACAATGATAACTGAAGGAATCTTTTTAAAAAGAAAAGTCATTACTTAAAGATCTCAACTTTTTGGTTTTAACATCCTGGATACTATTTATTTGAAATATCCTAAAGAACTATATTTGCTTGAGGAATAGTAAAGTTACCAAAATGCTCTAACAAAACCTATCTACTAGAAATAAAACTCTCAAATGCTGATGAAGGAGTGTCCACGACACAAACAACATTCAAGTGGTACTTCTACGAGAAGTCTCTAAGCAAAACAGACTCCATGATCCTATTCCCAAAAAGATAAATACCTCAAGTTTACTGTCAATGAATAGATGAAATAGCTGATTTGAGAGGCAAGCACACCCAAAACCTCTGCAAAATATATTAGATACTATCACATTCAGAAAAGAGACAAAGGAAGAACATTATGAACAATATGCAAAACCCTTGCTTATTTCTTTGGACTTTCATAAATAAGAATCATCTAGATAACTCTGGGACTTGTACTATTACTACTAAGAGCTAAGTATTTATTGGGTCCTTTATAAGTGCTGGGCAAATAATAAAGCGTTGTATATTGTTTCTATCATACAATCCTCAAGATAATCTTGTAAGGCAGGAATTATTCTTAGCCTCATTTTACAGAAAAGGCAGCCGTGGTCCCAGACGTTAAGTAACTGGCCAAAAGTCAGTAAGCTGGTAAGTGGCAGAGCCCTGATATGAGACAAGGCAGTCTGCTTCTAGAACTTGCACCATTAACCCACTTGTTCTGCTGGCTCAGAATCTATGAAACAGGTAAAAGTGTATTGTGCCTTTCTTTTCTGTCTCCTCCCCACTCCCCAGGAATCTCAATAAAGAAAGATGAATCCTGAGCTTTCTAATCTATGGATATAGATCACTATCTTTGAGAATCAAAGATGCTACTATGATTATTTTACTACCTGCTTTAAAGAAAAGTATGGCTCAATAAATTAATGCAGTGTCTTTAATTTTTCCTGCACTGGTTTTATATATATTTTCTCTCCCTTGTTTAGGGTTGCAGCTAGAAGACAATCGAACTAGCAATGGAGCCATTATACGAGGAATACCTAGCAAATCATGGAACAATAGTAAAACCGTATTACTGGCTAAGCTTCTCTCTAGATTGCTCTAATTGTCCTTACCACATTCGGACAGGTGAAGAAGCAAGAGTTCCCTAGAATTTTATCAGATTTTTGGATTCCCTCATGGGCCAACATATCCTCAACCAAAACACCTCACGTTTTATGAACTGAAAACTTCTTCAGGAAGCCTGGTGCAAAAGGGCCATGCCAGCAGTTGCACAGGAAATAATACCCACCCAGAATCAATGCTATTTGAGACAAATGGCTATTTTGACTCGGCCATATACAGTAATAATGGCATCAGGCATATTATTCTGTATTCCAACAACTCCCCTTGTAATGAAGCTGACCACTGCTGCATCAGCAAAATGTATAATTTCCTGATAAGATATCCAGATGTCACTCTTAGCATTTACTTCTCTCAGCTCTATCATACTGAGACTGAATTTCCTGCCTCAGCATGGAACCGCGAAGCTCTCCGGAGCCTGGCCAGTCTATGGCCGAAGGTCACTTTGAGCCCAATAAGTGGTGGGATCTGGCATTCTCTCCTCAACAACTTTGTGAGCGGTGTCTCAGGATCAGCTGTTTTCCAGCCCATTTTAACTGGAAGAGCCCTGGCTGACAGGTACAATGCATATGAAATCAACGCCATAACAGGAGTGAAACCTTATTTCATTGATGTTCTTCCCCAGACAAAAGAGAATCAGAACATAACAGCTCAGGCAGCTTTAGAGAGCTCCTCTTTCAGTAATGTCTTTCCTGGACAGTCTTTTCAAGTGACAAGTAGACAACCACAACCCAATCTGACACCAGACCTCAGGGTTCCTGTCATTTTTGTGCTGGTGCCTTTCAGAGACCTACCACCAATCCACGTGGGTCAAAACCCATATAAACCCAGAAATGTCGTAAGGCACTTAAACATGCCTCAAATGTCATTCCAGGAAACCAAGGGCTTCAGAAGCCCTCCCACGGCAATGCCAGTGGAGACAGTGGAAATCACAGAACAGCTTGCAAGTAGCAAAGAGGCAGATGAAAAGAAGAAAAAAAAGAAATAGAAAAAAAAAATCTACATTCCTATAACATAAGACCAAACAACTACCAGAGGTAGCCAACAAAAATCTGGAAACTTTCTCTCTTAGGTCTGATCTAAGATGGCGATAAACTGATATATTGAAGGCAAAACCTGAATAATTTATCTCAACTACGATAAAGCTACACGATTTTTAACATAATCCAAAATTTTCCCATAAGCATTTAATATCTTTCCTTTATTTTGAAAGCGACAATATGAAAATGTAGCCATTAGTACCTTGCTAATATTTTGGTGTGAAAAAGAAAATGTCATTATTCTCGTCTACCCACATCATCTTTCCACTAAAAATGCCTACAGACCAAATAGCTTCCTAAATTGGTTTCAGTATTAAAATTTATTATAAACTTGGAAAACAACCTGAAGTAACTAGCATTAAGTGCTGTTTGCAAAAGCAAACCAATGATTTTCCATTAATCGTTAATTGTGGACAGAAGATTTTAGGCAGCCCATTTTTTTCCGAGGCGGTTCAAAATAGTTTTGTGTGGGGAGAAAGCTCTTTTGCTAATTGATTAGATATAGCTACAAAAATTGATTTTTGAAATCTAGCCACCGGCTCAGTTTGATTTTTCCCAGCTCAGACCTCTCCTTTCTGAGATGATAGAGGCAGGATGATACATTAGATTCTCCAAAGGCTCCTTCTATCACATGCCATATAAAACCCAAGCCACTCTTACTGGCTTTCAAGACTCTCCCTCTACCTTCCTGTTGTCCTGTCTCATCAGTGAGATTGTAAGTTCCTATTG